TGATTTTTATGATTGCTAAATGTTTCCTGGGTAATATACACATTGTTGTTTGGGTCCAAGAAATGCTGTATCGGGCGAACCAATATCGCTACACCATTTAATAAAAAAAAACCATTGACACATACATCGCATCTGACATTCGGAACACCCAAAGAGTTATTGTTGAGAAGTCTCTCCATCCTCAAGTTGTGGCTGTATATGGTCCGAGGGTTATTGGACCTTACTTTTCCGATAATAAGGTTGGATTAGAGTTTAGGGGAACGGATTGCGCAGCAGATGATTATTTCTTATATTCGGAATTGGTTCGTATTGGTTAACGCACCACGCGGACGAATACATTTTTCTTTTAACGGAAAAAGTTCTCGGAACATGTTATATGTCGAGTTGGCCACAAGATGACGCTAAGTGCCCTTTAACTACTTTTACTCTTTACGCAAGGCAAAGGCGTCCGAACCGCTTATGCCTCTCAAATATATGTTCAAATGTTTGCAAATGACAAATTCGACGTCAAAAGCCCAGCATCGTTTCAAGGCTTTGAAGAGAGAAGTCGTGAGGCTACCTGGGACATAGTACGGAAATGTGATTCTAAATGATGTAGATTTTTTTTCGTTTAGAAGATATGGTCCCTCAGCCTTATAGCTAATGATGGTTACAGTTTGATATCTAAGTATTGGTTTTAGACAGCATGTTCCTTTGAAAATCCTTTTTGGACAATTCAGAGTCGATTTACAAATGTACGTCCCTCTGTCTCTCTGCCCGGCTGTTCCGCGCGGGCTCTCGAAGGGTGTAACCGATTTCATCCAAATTTTGAACATCGTAATACTACTACCAAACATAGTTCAAGTTTGAAGATGGGATTATCGGTTCATTCCTTCTCCTCCTCGTCTATCACCCCACAAAATGGTCAAAATTGTGATAAACATTAATTGAACCAAGCCTTGTACAACCTATTTTCTTTACTAAGCCTAGATCAAGTCCGAAGATGGGATCCATTTGTTCATGGTCAAAAATTTCAAAATGTATAAAACCAATATCAGGCGAAAGTGATATCTGAGTTTGGTTCAAACTTTACACAAAAAATTATAATTACCTAGCCTAAATAAAGTTCGAAGTTGAGATTCGTCTGCCTTCTTCTTCTTCTTCTGGTACCTATGTCACAAATATTTTGGTAAACTTTAATTTGAAACGAATTGAATAGCCGATTTGATCAACATAAAATCTCCTTTCATAAAATCAAATACCTTACGTAAAGCGAGTAATAAAACCTGTGTGTAATTCCGAAGACATCTGCAAACTATAGGCTGAGGGTCAGCAACACCGACTGACAGCAACACCGACGGACACTTTGTTACTTGTTTTCATTAATAATGGTATAGTCTTCACCGTTATTATAAAATACCCACAATTCAAATTGTACAAAATTTAGTACACAGTAGTACCAATTTCCAAAACTTCCTACATACCCCTAACCTACACCTTCACAGTGATCCTAAATCCAAGTTTTAGGATTCTAACTCTATCGGTTCACTCACAATTCAAATTGTACCAAATTTAGTACACAGTAGTACGAATTTCCAAAACCTCTTTCATACCCCAAACCAACACCCGGACATTGATTCTAAATCCAAGTTTCAAGATTCCAACTCCATAGGTTCACCCACAATTAAAATTGTACCAAATTTTGTACACAGTAGTACCAATTCCAAAACTTCCTATATAACCCAATACTTCACCCCCACAGCGATCCTAAATCCAAGTTTCAGGATTCTAACTCTATCGGTTCACCCACAATTTAAATTGTACCAAATTTAGTACACAGTAGTACGAATTTCCAGAAACTCCTTCTTACCCAAACCAACACCCCCACAGTGATCCAAAATCCAAGTTTCAGGATTCCAACACTATTGGTTCACCCACAGTTCAAATTGTACATAACTTAGTACACAATGGTACCAATTTCCAAAACTTGCTACATATTTCAATCTTACACCTCCATAGTGATCCCGACTCCAAATTTCATGCCTCTAGCTCTATTGGTTCACCTAAAGTTCAAATTGTACCAAATTTAGTACCATTTATTACCCATAAGTTTTCAATTGTTAAACTGAATCCTGACCCTAATCCTACATCCCTACAATGATCCTAACTCCTAACTTCATTGTTCCAGCCATATCGGTTCACCCAAATCCAAATTGTACCAATTATAGTACGATTTAGTACTTTTCGTACACATAAGAAAAAACTTCCAAAACTACGTACATATCCCAATCCTACACTCTGACGGTAATGTTACTTTCAATTTTCAGGATTCCAGCTCTATTTGGACCTCCAAATCAAATTTGTACCAAATATAGTACCATATAGTACTTTTCGTACACATGAGTACACGCTTTCATCTCCTTAAATGGACTTAATAGACCTGAAATACATCTTAACCCTAATTCGCATTCCACATTTCAAGTTTTTAGCTCCATCCATTCACATGCTACGAATTTGTACCAAATTAAGTACATTTTAGTACTTTTCGGATAGTTATAGTTCGAATTTCCAAAAACCCTTTGTTACACCTATCCCAAACTCCACCAAATACAAATGGTATCACATTTAGTACTTTTCGTACCGTTCTAGTACGAATTTCCAAAAACCCAGCTTTATCTGTCACCCAAAATTTCAAGATTCTAGCTTCAGCCGTTTCGTCTGGCCGTTGATGAATCGTTAATTCAGTCAGTCAGTCAATCACTTTACTCTTTTATTTGTATAGATTAATGGTGCAACTCATGTTATGATAGGACCTTGAACATACCGAAAAATACGTGAAAAAAATATGATAGAAACTCTTAAAATATCTAATAGTGGGGCTACAGTTATATGGGGCTATAACAAAACAGGGATTAATATTGATAGTTATTGGTAGTGAGATTTGAAAGTTAATGTGAATACAAAAAAATATACAGTCAATTCCGAATACCAAATATTGGGAGAACTCTTGTATGGGGGCTACCCTGAAGTAAAGGATCAATACTAATAGTTTTTAATAAGAATATGAGTTATTCAATGAGAACCCAAAATTCCTAATTACAGCCAATTCGGTAGGAAAACCTGCCCACAATCCCAAAAATATCGAGTATTGGGGGTACCGTGATATAGGGACTACCCTGAAACTTGGGTCAATATTAATAATTTTTGATACGAAATGTGCTATACAATGCGAACCCAAAATAACAAATTACTAGAGATGAACAGTGGGTAAATACCCGGTAAATTGGTTAAATACCCCGTAAATTTGATAAATACCCTTTTGTGGGTATTTATTTGGTAAAACAACATCTTACATTCCATTTCCCGGTTCCTGCTATCAAATCGATTTAAAATGGATAGTTTTACAATGAATGTTTTTAATGTCAAAGCGAATATGGATGTGGAAAATTGAGTTCCTTGGTCTAAGTTTTGATATTAGCCTCCATATAACCGTACCTCCCGATTTAATGAATTTTTTTCTATTAGACAAAGAGTTCTCTATGGGCCTACTGGGACTACTATATTTTTTCTAGGCTAGACAATACTAACAACACTTATTTGACGTTTTCATTCAAGTTAGCCATTTTTTCCTGTTTTCTTGTTTCCAGTGGCTTGGAAAAGGGATAAACCCCTCGAACATTTATAAGATCGCCTGAGTTGGAGAATCATAGATCTACGCGTATGAGCCATCAAATGTTTGGATTTTCGAAAACGAACCAAATCTAAAGAAAGTTGTTCGTGATGGAAGTGCTGTTTTCACGAAACTGGTCAGCTGTGGAGATTGTTAAGCATGGACAACGTGGGGTGGTAGGTTCGGCGAAAAAGTGACGTCGGGTCATTCTGCACCATGACATTGCTAGCGCATTAGATTATCCGCAGTACAGCCCAGTCTATACACACACTTCTCTTTAACTCCCGTAGATAAAAAATGCCTTGTGAAGAATTTTTGTTGCCAGAAGATGTGGTTGAAAGGTTTAAAAAACTATATTTTGGTGTTTTCTCAAACGTATGTGGGAAATTCTCCGACAAGGACACAAAAAGGTTTATAACTCATACTGAAGAATGCAATAAGACCTGTTAAGCAGCATTCATTATAAATATCCGCATTTGTATTATTAGTCCAGAAATATACAGTAGCCTTTATAAAAGACATATAGAAGATCATTTAGAAGAATACACGTTGAGGAACTTATATCCAAGGAAGGCATGTTATCGGCCTTCTATCCAAGAATGCATTCGAAGGACTTCTGTCCAGAATTTTTGTTCATTAAAGAAAAAACTATGGGAGGCCTTCTGCCCAGAAAAGTAACTCTCCTTTCCATATAAGACCTGTTTAAGGTTTTCTATCTTAAAAAAACTTTTTTATAATTTACAGATGAATTTAAAAATTTCAGTTATAGAAGACCTGTTGAACGTTTACTAACCAAAAAAATCTTTAGAAGATTATAGTTAACCTTTATTAGTTTTCCACTAGAGAAGGAACTCTTGAGAGAAAATATATCTAGAAATTCATACAAAAATATATGGAATATATATTTTCTCATACAAGATCTGTTGAAGGTTTCTTACATGCCTAAATTACAGAAGATGGTCAAATTCACGTCCCACTGTATTTGTAACTGTCATAATATATGTATATGTAACTATACTAAACGTACGTGCAACGGATGTGGCAAGATTATCAAATCAAATATATTATCAACTACATAACAAAATTCATAGCAAAAAATACATGTATGTACGTACTCATGTGTCTAGACAAATGCTGGTCGTTGGAATCAAATTCCTCCACACATCTATATAAGGAAAGGTAATGAAATTTGTGTGCTAACATCAAGGCCAAAGTCATATCGACTTTTGTCTACACATAATCACATTGCCATTCCTACAACTAGTTACTAAAATCATAAACCAGAATACAGTTAGTGACCACACTTGGGAATTTCCCCCAAAAAAATCGAAACTCCAATCACTTTACTTACCGCACCGAAAAGGCACTGCGTCGCGTCACCTGCCCCTCTTCCCGTATGTGACGAAACGAACGTTTCTGCTGTTGCTTTTCATGATCGAAATCAATCGACGTAACACGTTCCAACGGCTGATGGCAGATAATATCCCGATCCGAGACAGATTTCAGATTACGTATTACATACGTGCCGCCAAAACGTGAATGTCGTCCTGGTGGCGGTTTGGCTGAGGTGCGTTGCTTTTCACGGCGCCTGGCTGCCAGCAATTCCTGTTCGTCTCGTTGTTTTTCACTGACACTACGCTGCAGTGAGGCATCGGCCAGGTTTTCGGCAGTCTATGAAATGGCAACAAAAGAAAAAAGATGAAAAGTGAATGAGTAAAATTAGCAAACTACAAATGTGAAGAGAGGCGGAAGTAAGGCAAAGAAGATGTATGAACATGCAAAAATTTCATTGAAAATACAATTCAATAAGGAGCGTGTAACAGTCATTGCATGTCGTATAGGGAAACATGTTGGCTGTGTTGACATATGGCTGATGATGATGAGTGTGTGGGTGCAGGATACGTTTTACAAAGTTAAGGCTGTTGCTATTAGAAAAAATCTGTGTAGATTAGAGTGGGAATGCATTGCTTAAAACTTATCGTAAGTAGTTGGTAGTATAAATACGGGAATTACACTGTGGGGAAAAGACTTTTCGAAATTAACACCGTTCGTTGTCGATTTTTCTTCATTTGTTGTTACTTTGGTTTTGACAACGGTTGTTGTCAATTTGTCAACAGGCGTTTACAATTCTTAGTATTTGACCACGATACGTAATCAGCTTTGAGAATGTGACAACGGACGTTGTCAAATTTGAGAATATGACAACGAATGTTGTCAAAATGTGAAATATTCAGAAATTTGATCTTCAAGAGCAAAATGAAATAATTGCCGAGTATGCCGAAATCGACGGTGATATTATGCTGGTCAGTAATACAGAAATAATTAATGATTTGTTTGTAGTGGGAATTGGATGCTACTAATCTCGACATCAAAGAAACCATGGATTTTATATGGGGATGTTTCCGAACAGCCTTATCTCTCGAAGGGGTGATTATTATTGTCCGCCAACATTTTCTGATTTAGAACTTTTCGACTGTTGACTGTAGGGATTCATTAGGTCGGCGAGAACGTACACAGAATCTTTGCATTTTGATTATGCAAAATTTCCGTGATTATGTGTTCGTGGTAGCCAGTGGACTGATATAGTGGATCATTATTAACGGCAAATACCTATGTGATCATCCAAAATTTATTTTTTTCTTTGAATATCAAATTATACTTCGTATTGCAAAACCTTGTAGATCGTCTTTTCTTCATAGGTGACCTCGATCTAACGAAGTCCTCTAGAAGGTCTTACATTTATGGAAGACACATATATAAGGTCCTGAAGATATTGAATGGAAGGCAATTAGCAGGTCTTTCACCTATAAAGATCTTCTTTCTTTAAAAGAAGGTCTTCAATCTACCGGAGACTTATGAAAAAAATTAAGTAATTTTGTGCACATGTAAAAGATAGTCAGTTGGTGTTTCCGACAGATATATACCCTCAGCCTATTATTTGCGGAGGTGTACGGAATAAGACACAGGATTTATTGTTTGCTTTATATAAGGTATGTATATGTTTTCTTTTTTATTTTTAAGTAGATTATAATTTAAGGAAAATTAAATTTAATTTAAGGAACAAAATATTACGATTTGTAAAGTGTGGGTCAAATTAAACATTCCAATATCTTGATATTGGAGTAACAAATTTTGAAAATGTTGACACTTTGTGGGGAAGGAGCCAGGAGTTTAACAACGGGTCCTATATTCAATGCTGATCTATGTAAGCTAAATATATTACCGAGTGGAAATTTTGGGTGAAATTGGATATTCGGTACGCTCCATATGAGCGAGAAATGTTAACCCTTTGTGAAGGAGGAACGGGCCCCATATTCAAAGTTGATCCATGTAATGGAAATTTTGGAAGAAATTGGGTATTCGGTACGCTCCATATGACATTTACAAGTTTTCAAAAATGTTAATTCTTTGTGAACAAAGAGTACACCGATAAGTCTCATCTTCCATCATTATAAAAGGACTGTTAAAATATTCGGTTGAACAATGTAAAAATCAAATAGAATAGCCCGATCGCTTCTTCAAACTTGAATTGAATTTAAAAGAAATATTACGATGTGCTTTTGGTATCAAATCGGACATTCCACACCATTATTATTGGATTTACAAATTATCAAAAGTTTGACCCAATAGGAGTAGACAGATGGGTGCCATATTTGGATTCGATCTAGGCTAGGGAAAAATATGTTCGATTTTAGAGCAGACGGACGGACTGACATTTGTAAATCACCTACAAATTGCGTGAAACGGATTTGGTCCAAAAGAACTAATATTCCAAAAAGGCGCATATTTAGCATAATAAAGTTTATATACCCTCATTAGCCATAAGACTGAGGATATAGAAAAAGGATAATTCAAAGGCAAAATGTATATACACACCATAAGATGGTGTGTATATAAAGGAAAAATACGAACAGTCCAAAGACATATTTTACGAGGGCCTAGAAACAGCATATAACCGCTGCTGCCCTGTCCATGACATTAAAGTTCTGTTAGGAGAATTTAATGTAAAAATTGCAAGGACAAATATTTTTGGCCCCATCTTTGGAAACTTCAGCCTCCATGAAGAAAGATCTCGATATACACAAGGCCACCTGGATTTCCCCTGATCAAGAAACGATAAATCAAATTGATCATGTTGTGACAGACAGAACACATTCATCCAATGTTTCAGACGTTCGATCGATCTGAGTTGGGAATACCGATTCGGACAAATATCTTGTAGCAGCCAAGGTTCGGCCCAAGATCTATGGGCTGATCTACGTCTACGGTTAATATCGCCGTCGAATGAACCATGACATCGACATAGTCAGGCGATTCGAGCTGAAGCGACTACGTTGGCTAGGTAGTGTTGTGAGAATGGATGAGAATGCCCCAGCTCAAGAGGCATATAAAAGCGAAGAAACTGATGGTTCACGTAGAAGGGGAAGACCACGAATTCAATGGAAATTAAATGACGAACTTCTAGATTAGTGGCGAATTTATAATGAACCTACGAACTTCTAGTGCACTCAGAGACCTGGTGAACTGTTGAACTGATGAGCAAAACTTGAGCTGGTGAACTTATAGTGGGAAGGTGAATCAACTTATGATCTGTGAGTAATATTAAGGACTCCCCTTACTGTCTTAATTCATAGGAGACCATTGATAAAACTTAAGGAATTTTATACTGGTCTTGCTACGTTTTTATAAAAATCCCAAACATTTCGTATATAAACTTAATGATTTCTTAGAGTAATATCAATGATTTCTTATTGGGTTCGTAGGGACTATTTTAATAGAGACTTTAAGAGCTTATATATTGAACAAAAAGATTTCTTAAGAACTCTAAACAATTTCTTATTAATGTCTGAAGTATTTAAGGTTTCTTATGGAAATCTCATTGTGTCTTAGGGATTTATAATTGAAATCTGAATGATTTTTAAATAAGCTTCAGTGAGACTGTAAAATGTATGGACTTTTTACTGAAATCATAAACATTTTTTTATTTATTTCTCTTTCGAGATGAGATACATGATCGAAGTTGCAATGAAAAGGAAAGTCAGAGATATACCACATTCCCACCATTATGTGACGAGGGCTGTTTGGAAACTGCTTAGCCTAAACAGAAAAAAGTTAAGTGTTTTGGAAACTTCCAAACAACTCCTTTATATAGAAACTGATGTTCAATAAAGACACATCCGGAATTTTTTAACAATGGAAAAATTAGAAGTGCGTGCTGTCATTAAATATTTACACAAAAAAGGTTTATCGGGACAAGAAATTCATAATGAATGTGTTAGGTGAAAGTGCTCCTTCATATGCAACAGTACAAAATTGGTTTGCTGAATGTAAACATGGTCGTACAACCATTGAAGATGAACCACGTAGTGGACGTCCAAAAACAGCAACAACAACAAAAGTTGTAGCCAAAGTACGGGTATGGTATTAAATGATCGACGAATAAAAGTGCGTGAAATTACTAATATCAGGGGCATCTCAAATGATCCAGTCCAATTAATTTTGCATGAAGAACTACAGATGAAAAAGCTTTCTACAAGATGAGAGCCGCATTTGTTAACAATCGACCAAACATGCATACAAATGAACATTTGTTTGGATCGTTTTATTTCGCATAAACGGATTTTAAGGGATTTACCAAAAACCAAGTTAAAAAATATGGAAGATCTTCACCGATTGGCTTTATCCTAGTTCATACGATAGTTATACACTCACAGAGAAACGTCCCAAAATTTGAAATCAATTGGGTTATTTGTTTTTGAGTTATAGTGCCCGCCATTCCCAATAACGCTGTTTGAGACTTCAAATGTATTTCATTGATTGACTAATTGCAAAAGTGTAAAACAATAAACTCAGAGTGCTTCAGAGTACAGAGTACTTTTTGGATCAATTAAATGTACAAATTCGAGAAAAACGTCCTGGCTTACAACACAATAAAATATATTTTTCATCAAGACAACGGACCAGCGCACAAGAGTGAGTTAACAAAGGCTAAAATCAACAAATTCAAGTACGACTTCCTAGAACACCCACCTTATTCTGATGATTTAGCTCGTAGTGACTTTTACTTGTTCCAAAATCTACAAAAATTTCTTGCTGGCAAGCGTTTCACCTCAAATGAAGATGCAGTTACAGCTGTAAACCACGATTTTGAGGACCATGAGGAAATCTGTTTTAATCAAGGGATAGAATTGCTAGAAAAGCGTTGGACTAAGTGTATTGAAGTTGCAGGAGATTATATTGAAAAATGAAAATATTGTTGAAAACTAACTATTCTCTTTCATTAATAATATATCCTACAATATTTTTCTTCCATGATATACAAATGCATATTGCGCATCTTTCGGAAGTAAAGAATATATCTTTGAACGTCATTGCCATAGGGACCAGGGTTCAGATCGCAGCCGGGCTCAAGCACAAAGAGTTTTTTTTTTTTGAGATTGAATCCCCTTTTTAAGATATCCTCTATATATAGAACATCTTTGAAGTATTATTGAATAGAAAGAGGACCACCTTTCAAAGGGTCTTCCAACGTTTTGGATGAAGAGGCCTTCTCTAGACAAAAGTCCTTTGAATCTTTGGTAAGCGAATTTCGTAAAAAATATATGCTTTAAAGGACTTTTATATGCAGAAAACCCTTGAGACAGTACTCTATATAAGCAAAGTTATTTCAT